GTTCTTGTAAATAACTAATATACTTATTACAAAATAACTCGGTAAATAATCAAAATAACCAACTGTCAAAAAAAAAGTTAATAATAACACTGGCCAACAAAGATTTTGCGGCAAAACATTTGGGGGTCATTTTATAGGTAACTTGTTGCCCTGATTCCGAATATGACCTCCGTTTTCTTAGATTGGCTCTAGTTTTTGAGATACAGGGTGGTCACGAAAGTACATTAATAGCAACAATTTATGTTAGGTTGTAGCTTAATTCACAAAAAAAACACTAGATATATATATCAAATTGTTTATGGGGAAAACATTCAAATCAGTACAATGAAATCACAATTAATGCATTAAAAATCGGTGTCTGTATGATTGTCTTTTGTGTGGAGAATGTGGACAATCACGTTGAAGGCTCCAACAATAGTCAGCCATCATGTGTGTATCCAATCTTCCTTGGTATCTTTCTTCCATTACCTTGATATCTTGATGGAACCTCTCCCCTTGTTCCTCACTATAACTTCCTAGATTATCGGGAAACCGATCTAAGTGACTATGTAGAAAGTGAACTTTTATGCTCATATTAGCTTTCAATGTTTTGAAGTCTGAAAGCATTTTCTGTACGATTTCTTCATAGTTGGGAGATTTATGGTTGCCCAAAAAGTTATGAACAACCAAGACAAAACTTTTCCAGGCAGATGCTTCAATATCTGTCATTGTATATAGGAACTGCTCATCCTTGATGATTAGGCGAATTTGAGGGCCGCTAAAGATTCCAGCTTTGATTTTCTCCATACTCAAGCCTGGAAAAAATCTGCCAATATATTTGAAACATTGACCATCTTTGTCTAGGGCTCTTACAAATTGCTTCATCAGTCCTAGTTTGATGTGGAGTGGTGGGAAAATAATTTTTCCCCTGTCTACCAGTGGTTCGTTAATGATATTTGATGCACCTGCAGTCATATTTTCCCTAGCAGGCCATACCACCTTTTTCCCGTGGTCTTCTTTAGCCCTACTATCCCACAAACATATGAAGCAAGGGTACTTAGTATATCCACTTTGCTGCCCTAGTAAGAAGTTTACCATCTTTAAATCAACACATATAGACCACTGGTGCTCATTGTATCTAAGCTTCTGCAACATCATTCTTATATTTTCATATTCCTCTTTCAGTTTTGTTGAGTGAAGTATTGGGATGGATGCATAACTATTGCTATTGTGCAATAAAACACACTTCAAACTTCTCATCGAACTATCTATAAACAATCGCCAATCTTTTGGTCGGTATTCAGGTAACCCCATTTGGAGGAGGAGTCCAGGGATGTTCCTACAGTATACTATTTTTTCTTCTTAAATGAAATATGGAAGAAGTGCTGCCTCTCTTGTCCGAAAAAAAGTTATTTTACACTCGGCCTTCAAACTGTTCTTTTCACTTAGTCTAGATGCTAAAAGCTCAGAATCTTGCTTGGATAGACTTAAGTCTCGTACTAAATCATTGATCTCTTCCTGGGAGAACTGTTGCTGTTTAGAAGTACTGTCTTCATATTCACTACCACTATCTGCATGTTCGCACACCAAATTCTGCATATCTTCTTCATCAGACACTGTTAGATCTGGGAGTGTAGTGAACACTGGAATGGGGACATCGTCTGAGTGTGGTACAGGTCGGCTTGCTGATTCCAAATCCGGATACTCAAATTTACGTTTCTTGAAACGATTGATACCTTTCACATTAACCAAACAAAAATAACAGTCACTGTCGTGATTCTTTTGCTCCCGCCATACCATAGGCACACCAAATTTTAAACCTTTTCTTTGTCCATTTTTCCACTGACGTAGATTTTCGACACACGTTTTACATACAATATGGGGAGCCCAAGACTTATCTTGGTCTCCGAGTTTCATTCCAAAGTATGCCAGATATGCTTGCTTCACAAAGTTAGTAATATTTCTTCTTTGGCTCTCCTGGCAATATTCACCACAGATGTGGCAGAATGCATTGGGGTTATTCAAACATCCTCTTCGTGAAGAACTCATTTTGTTCTAAAAACAGGAAAAAGTATATATATATATATATATATATATATATATATATATATATATATATATATATATATATATATATATATATATATATATATATATATATATATATATATATATATATATATATATATATATATATATATATATATATATAAAGGTATGCCCTTTAAAAAGAAATAAAACTATTTTACTGTAAAATATGCATGAACGAAGATATTTGTATAAGAATATATCTGGAACACCCTGTATCTCAAGAACTAGAGCCAATCGTGGAAAACTAATGTCATTTCTGAAATCAGCACACCCGATATACTATAAATTCGTAAAAATATCCTCGGCAGCAAAAAAAAAATTTTTTTTGTTGGCCAGTGTAATAATAAAATGACAGTAAAACTAAATAGATAAATTTGAAAGTGTGAAGTTGGTTTATTTGAAAGTGTGAAGTTTGTTTATTAAGTGAGGAACTTTCCCATTTAATGTGAAGGGCTTTTTTTATCTTTAATTTGTGTTTGGTTGCGGCATTATCAAAAATTTCAAAAGTATTACAGTCAGCCAGATTTTTGCAATTAATAGATAAATTTAATTGTTTAAATAGAAGAGATTGTTTATCACTTTTAAGGCGCTCATTTATTCTAGTTGCGAAATGTCTGGAGGTTTCTCCAATGTAACTGGCTTTACAACCAGCGCAAGAAAATTTATAGACAATATGAGATTTAAGCAATTTAGGAAGTGACTCTTTTAAGCAAAAACAATCTTGTATTTTATTAGTCGTGAAAGTTAATTTTATTAGAACATCCTTGCAATATTTATTTTAGTATAACTATAGTACATTCCAATGTATGGGAGCTTAGAGTATCTTATATTTAAGCTATTAACAATGTTAGAAACAGATGGGTTCATTTTCTTATCAATATAGGATTTAATTTCAGAGTCAATAATTTTTGTGGAAACTTATTATTTTGTAAAACTAATGATTGACTCCTAATATCTTTATCAAAACCAACCCAAGTATTTTAAATGTACAATAAATCAAACAACGAACAAGTCCAAATTTGTTGCAAGAGAGAATAAAACTAAAAAAATCTTTTAAAAGACCTGTACAAGTTTTTTAACGATAAACTGAAGTCGAAAACGAATTGGGTTTTTTAATAAGTACATCTAAAAAGGCAATCTGGTTATCTTGTTTTTTTTCCATTGTAAATTTCAAATTTTGATGTTGTTAATTGATGTGTTTGAAAAATTCTTGAGCTTCATATTCAGAATTAAAAATAGCAATTATGTCATCCACATACCGTTTATAAAATACCGTTTATGGTGCTGTAAAGGAGCAGTTATTAAACCATGTTTGTTCATGAAATCCGACAAAAATATTAGCTAAGATTGGCACCAAGGAAGAACCCATAGCAAAACCATCTGTTTGATCGTAATAATTTCCGTCAAATAGAAAACGTGAACCGGATGAGGAAATATGAAGTATTTTTTTAAAGTGAATTTTTGAAAAATGTTTTGAGTTATTTTTATTTTTTAAAAATAAATCAGTTGCGATGTTGATGGTTTCCTTAAGTGAAATATTAGTGAACAAACTTTTAACATCATATGAAACAATAAATTTATTAGTTACATTAATTTATTTTAATTCTTTAACAAAAGAGAATGAGTCTAAAATGCAAAAAAATGTGTTTACGTATATAAGGAGACAAAAAATGAGAAAAATGTTTGGCAAGGTTGTAGATATATGTTGCGATTGTTGAGATGATATGTCGAAATGTTGGAAGAGAACAATCTTTACTATAACTAAAATAACAATAATCACTTTACATATTCTTTATATATCAACTTATATGTCAAAGTCAATTTTACTCACTAAAAAGACATTTTTTCACATCATTAGGCATTAGTTTTTGACATTACTTTAAAGTAATCCCACAAATGTCCGATAGAATAAAGCTTTGGTCAATTGGGAGGTCAAATCGTTCTATTCATCTTTTGATCATTCTCTAGCTCAATCAAATAACTTAAACAATGTTTTAAAGAATATGCTATGGATTTTTTTCTAAAAAAATGAATGGTTTCTCATTAACCCAATTTTCTGGAGGCATAACTTTTTAGAAATGTCCAAAAAGACTATTCCCTCTATATTTACAATGTCACCTGTAGCGTTCCAACAAAAACAGTTCTATTCCTTACACTACATCCACCATGTTTTGCAGTCAATAATACACAATGTATTATTGTACGTTCAACAATTTTTCTTCGGACAAACAACCTTCTCTTGAAACCAAAGATTTAAAACTTCGACACGTCGGTCCATGCTTTCAATTATTTATGGTTCATTTTTATGTAGTTTTGTTCGCTTTAGCATTAATATTATTTTTTATACTTTTTATCAAAACATTCTAATCAAAATATTTAATAATTAAATAATAATTAAATAATAATGCAAAAAATAAACATTAAAAAACTATAAAAGTAAAACCTTTTTTAAGAAGTTTGTCATTCAAATAATTATGAACACACACACACACACACACACACACACACACACACACACACACACACACACACACACACACATATATATATATATATACATTCAAAATTTAAAAAATAGTAACAAAATATAATCCCGCTAAACATTAAATGCAGCGTTGAGCAAACGTAAGGCACAACGCTGTGTTAACTTAACATACAACATTTGCCAGCGTTGGATTTTTGTTGTTAGCAACGTCGCATTTGTAACCAAAATGATATGAAAACAATGTTAAAAACTTTTTAAAATTTTGTGACAAAACAATTTAAACAATAAAAAACTTTAGGAGTTTAAAAAATAGTTTTATTACTTTTTTCTTTATGTACCTTTTTTCCTTATAGTCTTGATTTCAATAGTTATTTTTAAATACTTTTAATTATTTGCTTATCCATCTGAAGAAGTTATTTACAAAAACAGAATCTTTTTTTTTAAGGTAAACTTTTTTGAAAACTGCAGTTGTATATTACATGGAGACATACTACAAAATACCTCTCGCTATATTGATCAAGATTACAAATATAATTCTTCCGCTTACGCAACGCCTGGAAAATGCGACCGTCATTGCAAAAACGCATTTTTATTTGTTTTGAGTGTAACCTTATTGATTGTTTTATCATTTTTATCAGGAACGCCACATAAAATAGCTGTTCTTAGGTAAGCAATATATATATATATATACAGTGGTTTTCATAAATTTAGACGCACTCATATTTGAGAATAAAAAATTTTAGGTATTTTAACGATAAAACAATGACAAAAAAAGATTTCGGTTTAGTTTTTTTTCTATTTATCAGATAAATACATACAGAATACAAAATTTAAAAAAAGTTTACAAAAAAAATGAAATACTAAGTAATAATTAGGTACAACTACATGGTATTAAAAAAATTAGACAAAAAAAATTATTCATAAATTTAGACGCACTATACATTAGAAGGCGTAATTTATGAACCAATCAATATTTTGTGTATCCGCCTTTTGCTTTAATACAACTAAGAACTCTTCTAGGCATAGACTCAACAAGATTTTTGCACATCGCTTCTGGGACCCCATACCAGGTCTCCTTAAGGAATTCCTTCAGCTGACCAAGTGTGGAAATTTGAATAATTCACGATCAATCCAAGCCCAAATGTTTTCAATCGGGTTCAAATCAGGTGAATATGGAGGCCACGGTATTGTCATAATATTATTATCGTTGAACCACTCCTTTGTATAGTATGCAGTATGTGCAGTAGCGCTATCTTGTTGAAGTTTCCATGGTTTATTATTGAGCATAAGCAGGTCAATTGATGGAATTAGGTTGTTTTCCAGTACTTCTACGTATATTCTGGAGTTGATTCTTCCGGTGTATGTTTGGCACATACCAACATCTTTCTAATTGAAGCATGACCAGATTCCTATCGAGCCTCCTCCACTTTGTACAGTTGGTCTAATGTACCTGGCGTAATACTTTTCGTGAGCCATTTTTTTGACTGTTATGTTAGATTTGCGATTGATAAGCTCAAAGTTACTCTCATCACTCCACATAATGTTTTCCCATTGATCTATTGTCCAATACCTTCTTTCACGACACCATTTTAGTCTCCTTTGTTTATCATATGGACGCAGAAGCGGTTTCTTCAAAGCAGTGTAGGCTCCAATCTTGTATTTGATAAGTATTCGGCGGACTGTGCTTTGAGAAATAGATGTATTTTGCGTTGTATTGAATTCTGTGGTCAATTCTTTGTAACTAATTCTTGGATTAGCTCTGACAGCTCTAAAAAGAACACTATCGTCATTTCTTGTGGTTGACATGGGTCTACCTGGCCTCGTTTTCTCGCTGGAACCACCAGTGTGAAGAAAGTTTTGTTTCGTTGTTCGAACGCATTTCTCAGAAACTCCAATTAACTTGGCGATTTCTCTATTACTTTTGGTTCTTTCTTTGATGTGCGCAATAACTTGCCATCTTTCACCTTGAGTGATACGTCTTTTGCCCATTTTTTACGTTTTTTTAGTGCAAAACTAACTTAACTTTTGTTTATTTATTAAATAATGATTAAATAATTCCAGGTAAGTCATATTTATATAAGGTTTTTTGACAAAATCAATTAATTTAGGCCTATTAATGAGAAATATAAGAAAAAAACTACTAATTAACTATCAATTAACAAGATATAAGACTTTTTTAATTGTGCGTCTAAATTTATGAACAAAATAAAATCAAGTTTATCAATTAACTTTTTTGTGTTAATCGGTATAAAATGAGTAATAAACATCCTGTAAAAAAAATTAAAGTACTCTATAATAGAGTTTCATTTCCTCTTTTAAATTATATATCAAACATAGCGGTAGCACTTTTATTTTATTTTTATTTTGAGTATTTTCTTACATATATGAAAAAAAAAAAATGAATGCGTCTAAATTTATGAAAGCTACTGTATATATATATATATATATATATATATATATATATATATATATATATATATATATATATATATATATATATATATATATATATATATATATATATACGATATATATAAATATATACTATATATATATATATATATATATATATATACTATATAATATATATATATATATGTATATATATATATATATATATATATATATATATATATATATATATATGTATGTATGTATATATATATATGTGTATATATATATATATATATATATATATATATATATGTGTATATATATATATATATATATATATATATATATATATATATATATATATATATATATATATATATATATATATTATATAAAAATTTAATATATACATATATATATATAATTTTTTTTTTAAACTTACAATAACAATAACTTTTATGTTAAAACATTTTTGTAGATGTGTTCCCGATAACCAACGCGCATTCGCATTGGGTATGCAATTTATGATTATGCGAATTATTAGCTTTTTACCTGGGCCAATTATTCTTGGTGCAGTTATTGACTCGCAATGCATTACTTGGTCATACAGCGAATGCGGTAAAAAACTTGAATGCTTAGACTACAACTCAGATCGTCTTTCGTTTAATCTTGTTGTATTTGGTGTTGCAACATCAGGTAATCTTTGCTACTTACCTCGCTCTATACGTTGTAAAATATTTAACATACTTAATCTAAGATTCGAAAAGGGATGTAAAATTTTTATAAGCTACACATTTCACCGTCGTATTATAATATTATATATCTACCGTATTATATTATTATGCATCTCTTTTATTATAGATATATTTTATTATATTATATTATGTCTATCGCGTATTATCGCGTATGCTGTATTAATAGTAACGATTTTTAAAAAGGGTTCATTATTTCACTCAATCCTTTTTTTATGCTGATTGATCTTTATAAATAATTCAAATTTGCAGAAATAGTAGAGTAAAACTGGGTCAAACCGCACACCATATCATTGCACATACTGATCGAAATTATCAAATAAAAACTGAACGGATATGGCTATGAAAAAATTAAAATAAATTCAAATACAGAACTATCTCCGCTATTCAAATTTATAAAATTATATGCCGTTTCAACTTTTTTCCTTTTTTTATGCAATTTTATCAGGGAGTCGAAATTTTTTATGTATTTTTTTATCGTTGCGAACAAAATAATGCTTGAACCAAAACTGATATAAAAATAATTTTAACACTATCTTGTTGGAAATTTAATTTTAATTCAGATAGTATAATTTTTATGCAGCTAGAACAAAAAGTTAAATCAAAAATTAAAAAAGTAAAAAAAAACTCTTTTGTCCGATAAAACCGCACACTCGATTAATTACTTAGTTTAGTTTTTCGCAAGTGACTAAGCGTTTATTTTTATCTAATTAACATGGTCTTAATTCCGGTTTAATTAAAAATGAACTATAATGCTGTTAATATAATCATCTCTTACTCATTAAAAATTAAGTGTTATATTATTTCTTAATATAATCATCACTCACTCAATTCAATTTAACTTACTCTAACAAGCCAAATAAAAAAACAAAAGCGTGCAAGGAAGACGATATACAAGCCGCAAATGAAACAGAAAGATTGATGGTGCATCCGTTTCTATTACTTGGTCACTGGAGTAATGGTTCAACGCGAAATGAAATTCTAGAAACTGAATGTGGCAACCTTAAACGTGAAGATCAATTGCACTTATTCAAAAATGGCAAGCCTGGTAAAGACTGGTTTTATGTGTTTATGAAGAGATGGTCAAAATAAAATTCAACGAGAAAAGCGGATAACTTAGCATCTAAAAGAGCCGCTTCTTGTACGCCAGAAATAATTTATCATTATTTTCAATACTTCGGCAAGCAATATCAACAGACTGGTATAACTTCTGGGTCGCATATTTGGTATTGTGATGAAACAGGTTTTTCGGGTAATCAAGGCAAAGCAACCGTAGTGTGTCAAAAAGGGACAAGACATGCATTTAAACTCACTGGTAACAATAAATAAATTCATTATACTGTAAGCAATTGCTGCAACGCTGATGAGCATTTTGCACCACCATTTTTGATACACAAATCCAAAAGAAACTTTCGTCCTGACTGGGCAAGAGGTGGTCCAGTTGGCACCAAATATTCAGTTTAAAAATCTAGTTGGATGGAACACGATATTTTTATTGAATGGCTAAAAGAAGTATTTATACCCATAAATACTTCTTTTAGGTGGTATTCATTTTTTAGTATTTAGTATTTAGATTTGGAAGGGCATAACTCGCATAACTTTGGAAGCGGTATTGCTCTACAAAAAACACAATATAATCTTGATTTGTCTACCAGAGCACTCTTCACATATTCTACAACCATTGGATAGAGGTGTCTATTGTCATCTAAAACAAGCATGGTAAAAAATTCTTACAAAGTATTACAAAGACTCAAAATGTAAGAATTTAGATAAACAAAATTTTCCACCGTTGCTCAAACTGCTGTACGAGTGTGGTAAATGTTTTATACGCTTGCATGCAATCACTGGTTTTCAGTACACAGGCTTATTTCCATCTAATAAAAACAACATAAATCATAAGACATTAGCAGTCACACAAAGGTTTAATCCACCTTTATCAACTTTAGCAGCCTCCGCAGCACCTACACCATGTTGCTCAGACACTGCTTCATCATCTTCAACAACCGCCGCAACACCTACTCCAACTACACACCGATTACCATCTTTCTCAACTAAACCAACTTCAAGTTTTGATAGGTATTAAGCATGTGTTGAGCGTTGCAAAAACAGTATCGAGATAGAGTTGAAGGAGTTTTTTTAAGCCAGTTATCAATCGCATGTTAAAAAATCGACGCCGTGCAACATGTTAAAACTTGGCGGAAAATGTATTACCGAAGAAAATGTGATCGAGTTCCTCAAACAAAATAGAAGAAGAAAAAGCAACAATGGAAGCCATGAAAATTTCTAATCTTAACGCAAAGCGTAGACTCTCTATGCCAAGCACTCAAATGCCTGAGCATAAAAATGCTGAGCAACCTCAGCAAAATAATAATGAAGAACAAGCACCAGCAGCCAAACGATTAAAAGTTGCAAAATGTAAAAAGTGTAAAGTACAGTTACACATAAAAATATTGCAATTCAAGAATTCGATGTGTCGGGAACGGTTGTGCAAAGAAACATGTTTACCCAGGAAAAAGTTTTATAGAATTTCTATAGAATTTCTATAGCATATCTATTAATTTCTATAAAAATTGCTATACCGTAAAACCGCCTAAGTTCGGTCACCATGTAACTTCGGTCATTTAGGAAAAAATATAAAAAAAGCATGCAAAACTCTAATTTTACAAACTTTTTTTTCTCAAATAATATTTGTAATTAGTTCGTAAATATGAATCTATAAAAAAATTAATAATATGCAACCTGCTGAAATAATTCTTTAGCAAAACAACAATTTGAAAAAAATGCATACTGTTAAAATTTAAAATAAGTAAACTATTAAAATAAATGATCATATTTAAACTTAGCATTATTAAGAATCGCCAAATTAATTATATTTACAAAAAAAAATTTATTTATTGTGAAATTTTTAAATACTCTAACTTCGGTCATTCACGGATTAACAACGAAGGAGACAATTAGCAGTAATATCGTGAAATATTGATAAGTGTTGCGAATGTAAAGTTTACCGGTAACTTTATTTGTAAATTTACCAGTAAATTTTGACATTTTTATAATCGATACACACCATGGTATTTTATTTGAATAGAAGATTTGTTCATAATTTCGACGGTTCTTTGAGTTCTATAAAATATCAAGCTTGTGACATTTTTTTGGGATAAAATTAATGCCCAACGACAATTATGGATGCGATGCGAACCCTGTGACAATTGTTTGTGTGGATCTTGCTGTTCTGCTATGGTCAACGATACGTACAAGAATTGCCAGTAAATATACAAAGCTCATTTAAACAGTGTTTTTTTGTTTATTGAAAAAAAAATTTAAATTAACTGAAATATATATTTTTAATTGTATTAACCGGTGGCGTAGCAAATGTGATTATGTCCAAAGTAATAAAATAGTAAATAAAAATTTAAAATACTACTTATATTTGAAAAGGCCTTTTTTATGTGCTCCTTCTTGTTTTATTTGGTGCTCCAAAAAACTTTTTTTTTTTAACCCGGACCGACGCCCTTCTTAGTTATTGGTATTAAATGTATTTAATTTTACAATTATAATACATTTAAAAATTAGTTTTCATTACTTATGACGTTAAGTTTGTGATACGATATTAGTATTTATATAGCGTCCGAACTTATGAGATGGTATTTAAAGTTCGGTCAAAGTAGATGTTTTCATTTTAAATTAAATATTGAGAACTAGTTTTTACTTTTCATTTTTTTATTTTTAAAAATATCAATTATCAATAAAATTTTCTGTAAGTTTCAGGAAAAAAAATTAAATAAATTTATATTTATGCGTGATAAATAAAAGCTAAAGTGACCGAACATAGGCGATTTTACGGTAAAACTTTTTTTCTATGGAAAAAGAAGAAGAAAAAAAAGTTCTATAGGAATTTCTATAGAAATCAACAGAGATTCTATAGAAATTCTATAGCATTTCTACAAGCCATATGTTTTAAAAGTGTATAGAAATTATATGGAAGTATTTTTCCTGGGTTTTTTTTTCTTTACATTTAATATTTTCGATAATTTTATTATTATTTTTTTAACTTATTTTATATTATTTTATGTAGTTTTTTATTATCTATTTAACAAAAAAAAAAAAAGAAAAAAAAAAGTGATTTAATTTTTATTGATAAGTGTGCGGTTTGACCCGGTTTTACTATATAAAGTAAAAATAAAAATAAGGAAAATAAAAAGAAACATTATTATATTAAAAAAGGTATACAAAAATAAGAAGAAATATTTAATCCTAAATTAAAAATGAATTTTTTAAAACTTTATTTAAGAGTCGTATTTTAGAAATTGTAAACTTTATTAAAATAGACTTATTTAATATAACCATATTTTATAAGTAATTGTTTGGACTTAAGATTAATAATTCCAGTCAGGTCAACCAGCAATAAACTCTAAGTTAACTCATTCATCAAAACTAATTAAAAAGACACACATTTTAAAGTAATTAGTAACATGTGATTGAAGAAGTAAACAAAAAATGAAGGTTATGGTTAAATAGGATAGAAACTAGTTAGAGAAAATTCGTAACATCAAAAATAGCTGTTTTGACCACGAGGATTCTTAATCCAGCAGTTAATTAAAAATCTTTAAGCTAGCAGTTAATTAAAAAAGACTTGTTACAACAAAGACTGCGAACAATGGGTCAAAATTGTCTAAAAATGGCAAAACTGTTTATGGGTTAAATATAGACAAATGATACATGTTTATAGAGGATTTTGCGTCCAAAAATTTCATTTTTATACTCATTTTAATTTTGAAGTGGTAATGACCACACAAGCAGATATTTTAGGGGTTGTCAAGAGTGGTCATGGGGTTTATTGGTGGTTTTTAAATTAGATGGGACATGTTGTTTATCTAAATACAGATAACTGCTGTCAGGGAATTCAAATCTGAGCATATTCGGTCTTTAGAGGTGGTTATGACCGCTCAAACGGTCATTTTATTAATAGTCAAGGGTGGTCTCTAGGAGTGGTTATAACTACACAGATAGGTGTGGTCATGGGTTGTCAAGATTTTTTTGTGATTTTTATTTATTTTATGCACTTAAGTTCTTTGATATTGTGAATATAAAAAAATAACTTTCAATAAAGTTTAACTTTATTAACATATTTTTTATATATATATAAAAGAATCAAAGTGATGACATACATCATAAACTAGTATATCAAGAGCCCCTTGGTCTCGTCAGGTTGATAGGAGTTTTTGACTTTTCCTTGACTTCTACTTATTCTGGACACCTTAGTAACGTAGCTGCAAAGCATTTTCATCATAAGACTATAATTTGTGTGATCCCTAGAGTTTCATAGTGCAGTGCTCGCTATTGTTTTAGTCTAAAACATATGAGGGCGTATGAAATGACTATTTTTCACAATTGAATTACTGTTTTTCTATTTTATGAAAAATGTTATTTAAATGAACAAAACGCATTTGACACGTTTAAAGTACAATTTATACGACATTAAAACTAAAGTACTAGATGATGTAATTTTCTCGCTTTCACACAACGAAAAATTAAAAAGCTTTTTTTCTAGTAAACAAGCTAATTTTACCTTTTTTTTAAACTAAATTCTTCTTTTTACATGAATAAAAAATTTTTGCATAGATAAATACAAATAATAAGTATTCTTTTCAGTGACGGATCCAGCATTTTTTAGTGTTTAAGATAGGTAACTTCTAGACATGAAGCAGACTACAAACATTTGTATGTTTATACTTATGTGAAATAAAAATGCTTTGCAAAAAATTGCATTGATTGAAGGCTGGGAACAAATAAGCCCCAAAGTTTCGCCGTCAAAAAATTTTGATTATTCTAAGGGGTTTTATTGAAAAACACTTTGAAAAAAAGCAAGCATAAAAAATAAATTTTCATATTTCTTCTTATTATTTCAATTCATGATGTCAATAGACTAATATAAACTTTTAAGAAATTAAAATATTATAAAACTGTCTTGCTGCCCTCATATTTCATTTTTAAATGATTTTTTTACATTTTCAACAACATTTAAAAAATAAAACATTTTTGTAGTAAAATTGATATACTGAGCTCAAAAATCACAATTTAATATCAGTTTTAGAGTGCTAGGGTCTTGTTACATATAAAAATTACTCCAATATAAAAGTCTACGCATTTTTGTATGATGTTGGTTTACTTTCATATTTTATGTTAGTAAAATTTTAGCTTTTAATATTTTTTCAGTATCTCTGAGATTTTTTTATTTGAATTCTTTTTCTTATTGTCGCAATTTTGCAAAAATCTGAGTATATCAGTTTTTATGATAACAACATTTGTTTTCCGAAAGGTTTGTTTCAACTTTAAAACTTTAGCTCACAAAGGCAAGAATTGCTCCAGACATATGTGTGTTCTTTAGTAATAAAGTCTTCATCTGACCATTAGTAGTTTAATTACTAACTGGGCTCATAAAATTATGCCATTGCGTCAAGTAGGGTTTGTAAATTTACCGACTTTTATATGTACCAGTAATTTGGTAAAGAAAAATTGAAACACCGGTAAATCTGTAAAAAAAACCGGTAAACATATTGATATCTGTAATTTAATACAAATATAACAATGTGATACCATTTTCATTATCTTTATGTAGTCTTTAGAGCGGAAGATTTTTGTGTCTTTGAAATAAATTTGAATGTCAATATAAAGTTTAAAGAAAGTCGTTATTTTTGTTATAATATTAAATTAATAAAATTTTAAAAAAATTAGAAGCACCTGTTGTAAATAGTTAGAGAATAAAAATTAATTGATATATCATCAATTCCATATATTGAATGTGAATAAGTAAATATAAGATAAAAATTTACAGAAAAATTAAAAGAATAAACATTAATAATATTTAATATTTAACAGGTAAAAAATAATTAGAGCTTTCAAATATTGTTACAATTTTTTTTTACCTGAATTTTTAATTTTTTTAGTGATTGGTTCAATACTCTACATCTTGGCATGGTGGTTTTATCCCAAATTACCATCAAACTCTAACATAGAATTATCAAACACAAATAATGAAAAAAGCTAATTCATTATATATATATATATATATATATATATATATATATATATATATATATATATATATATATATATATATATATATATATATATATATATATATATATATATATATATATATATATATATATATATATATATATATATATATATATATATATATATATATATATATATATAAATTAACCTAGTTTAAGTTGTATAATTATTGCATCGCTTCAGTTGTTTGCGAAGCCATTTTTCTTTTTTCTCTCCGTCAACACTAGTAGTTTCCTGCATTTTAATTAACAAATTTTAATTTACAAGATTTATTACTTTTTTCATGATTTGACCGAATTGTATTAACTTATGATATTTTTTATGTTGCGTCTTTGTCTCGAGAAATAGTAAAGAATTTATAATAAAATCTTTTAGATTTAATACTAAATTGAAAAACTTCGTTTTTGATTATAATTTCAGCAGGCGTCAATTCTTTAATTATAATCAATATTGGTGATCTGATGAATATTTTTTGGAACTAAGTAAAAAATTGAAGTTCAAAGGCTTTTTTAAGAAAAAAGGCTTTTTAAAATTACTTTTCTGACCTGATCTATATTTCATGTATGAAAAGGTAAAAACTAAAAAAATTAACTATCCAATATTATTATTATTTTTTTTTTTTCTGTTTGAATCTGAATAGACACCTATTTAGTTAATTCAAAACCAGGTCAGAAAAGCAATCTTTTAAGTTTTTTAAGTAAAACTTTTTTATTTTTTTTTAATTTGTATTTTTAATTTAATTTTTAGTTTAATTTTTAATTTAATTATTTAATTTAATGTTCATCATCAAATAATTTTTACATTAATTTATGTTTTTTTACCTAAATGACATCATCTTCAATCTGTTTTTATTTTCACATTTCCCAGGTCTACGTAACTGGACGTAACTACGTAACTCGGATCTGAAATCTCACTTCATAGCACATCATTCCACACAAGCACGGGGCAGTAGCTCTTTTGGGTAAGAGTGCACTACACCATCACACCTGTAGACATCAACATTCTTCAAAATCAGTATATCAAATATTTGTTCTTTGTTACATATGATCTACATACAGAGTGATTAGAGTGTTAGTTTGTTCTCTCCCTGCCCTCCGAGAATTTACCTCGTTCTTTACCTTCACAAAAGTCTTATCACTCATTTTATATTTTCTTATGATTTTTATTTTTTATTCAATGACACCATCTTCTTACTGTTTTTATTATCACATATCTCAGGTCTACGAAACTGGACGGCTCTGTTGGTCACTTGTTGCGATTATTGTGTCGCATAAACAAAAAATTTATTCTTTGTGGCTGGTGAGCCCCGACTTTTTTCAATGTACGCCACAACGACAAAACGGACATTAGGCTATCCCGCTGGATGTGGTTACGGCGATCAATAACCTAATGACTACGCTGACACTCACGTACACGTTCAGTCGGAAGCTCCACAATGCACATCGGATCAGCGCTCGTTGACTCTGTGCTCGAATCTAAAATCTCACTCTATAGCACATCATTCCACACCAGCACGGGGCAGTAGCTCTTTTGGCTAAGAGTCATGGCTTGTGGCCTACGGTGACTAATGTGTGCATTCGATCAATTGAAATCTATTATGTAGGTCTCACGTCTGGCTCTGATGTGCTAGCCCATAAGCGCAAGGAGTGAGTGTGTTTAGCTTTCTATTCACCCGATTTGAAAGTGGACGAAGACATAACGAGACCATACTAGACGACCAAACGGTACATACTAATGCACTACACCATCACACCTGTCGACATCAACGGCCTCTAAAACCAGTATATCAAATATTTGTTCTTTATTATATACTTTTGTTCATAATCTTTTTTTTTTTTTTACCTTATCCTTGTATATTTATTCAGATTTGTGTTATGTGTGAATGAGGCCGTATATTTGTGAGAATTATAACAGCGCGAAAATTTTACACAAAAGTACGTATTAGCGTATTTTTTATAACCAATATATTCTTGGTTGGAATATACTGACCAATTTCATTAGATAAGTTTAGACTAATCACGATTTCGTTAGCTTTCTTTGTTTTTATCTAATTTTCTCGATTTGTTTGACTAATTTTCTCGATTGTTTGACGTCGCTAAGTTAGTTAGTTGTGGTTTGCACTATACAGTCTTCACTAACGTTCCTTTGGTCGTTTTGTCATCAATATTGTTTTTTAACGTTACATTTTTTAGTGGTTATAAGCTATTAGTTGAAAATCGCATATATTGTCTTATCTTTTTATTTCCTCATTATTTTCTGCCTACTGATTTGATGTTCGTATATATTTTTATCTCTGGCTAATCGTTATTTAATTACTCTGAGTCTGTTTTGTGTGATAGCTATTGTCTCTACTTACCAGGCAAGATTTATATGAGAACATACTGTTTAGAGTTATATATTTTTTATCATACTTTCGTTTAACTACTTTCGTACTAACCACAAAACATTTTAACTTAGTATCAATGCTTTTGAGTGGTATTTACTTATTATATTTATAATACATATTTCAGCCATAAAAGAAACGGTAAGTTACTATTAATAATTAATTACTATTTTCTATTCGCTTTTTGTTATTTCTACACATTATAATTGTTTATTTATTCACGCCCATACGTACATGTGTACAAGTTTGTTTTTTCTAATGTAAAGTTACCTTATATTTATATGTGTTTACATATCTGTTTATGGTCACACGACGTGCATTCCTCACCACCCTCACGAGATCTCTAAGAATGTTGGAGCTGTTTTCAAAAACTGGGATAGGGATTGGGTTTTTTGGCTTTTGTAGTGTAGTCCTATTATATTGCAATATTGACTAGCATGATGTAGAGTGCAGGCGGTGAGATCTGTTGCAAGGACACGCCCCTGACGAGTGGCGTTAGTGCAGGTCTCGGGCTCTCCGAAACGTCATTGGTGATCGCAGTGCATTCCTGAGGAGGGGGATCACCATTTATCCACAACTTAATTCTAATTGGTTATAATGGCACCAACATTTTTTTACCTCTTAAACCCATGTATTTTTGCGCGTTGTGAGCTTTTTATTATGAATTTGTTACATTAACGACATTTATATATTTTTATGTTACACAGGTGATTATCAGTTCTCAATTTTTTATCTAGAGTTTAGAACATATATAATACCACATTTATTAGACACTTGTATAGTGCGATTATTTTAGTTATGAATACCATTATAAACCAGCGGATTTTTATTGACTTGTTTACTCATAGATCATTATTTCATCATTTGCTAAAAGATGGCTAGAGTGTGAGTTTTTATTCCTCTTTTCCTGAGTTGCTAACTTTTATTCCTCCTACTAAATAATCTTTACATTAATTTATGTTTTTTTACCTAAATGGCATCATCTTCAATCTGTTTTTATTTTCATATCTCCCAGGTCTACGTAACTGGACGGCTCCGTTTGTCACTTTTTGCAATCATTGTGTCGCATATGCAAAAAAGGTTTATTCTTTGTGGCTGGTGAGCCCCGACTTTTTCTAATGTACATCACAACGACAAAACGGACATTCGGCTATCCCGCTGGATGTGGTTACGGCGCTCAATAACCTAATGACTACGCTGACACTCACGCACACGTTCAGTCGGAAGCTCCACAATGCACGTCGGATCAGCACTCGCTGACTATGTGCTCGGATCTGAAATCTCACTTCATAGCACATCATTCCATCATAGCACATCATTTTTTTTTTTTACTGCGAGCAGACGTGTTATATACAGAAGAAGTTTATCATCATATATATATATATATATATTTTTTTTCTTTTCAAATTTATTTTTTATTGAATTTATTCAACGAAGAAAAAAAGTATCATGGATCGAAAAAAATCTAACGAAACGGGGAAAATAGATGAAACGCAAATATCAACAAAGTTGTTCGCGATATTTTTTATGAAATGTTTTCAAAGCAGCAGAAAGATATTTTGAAGCTTATTCCCAGTAAGCACAAAACGTTTTTAAAACGTTTAAAAAACCTATGAAAACGTTTTTTAACGTTTTTAAAACGTTTTAAAAACGATCTGTGCTTACTGGGTTAGTGGTAACTTAAAAATAACTAATGATAAAATCAATGAGTTACTTGATCAAATGCGTAAACCAAAACAAATTTGCGACTCATTAAAAAAAGAAAACGAAAAGATTAACACTAAACTTAAAGAAATTACCGAAAGAGTAAGAATACTCGAAAAGACAAATAAAGATATCGAAGAAAGTCTAACAGTTACTCAGGATATCCAAGATAAAAAAGTATGTGATTTAGAAAAGAAAATTAAAAACAAAAACAAAGTGAAGAGGAAAAAAATAAATGAAGTGAAGAGGAAAAAAGAGGTGAAGTGAAGAAGAAAAATGAAGTGAAGAGGAAAAAAGAGGTGAAGAGGAAAAAAATAAATTACGACAGCTAGAAGATAGACTCAGAAGAAATAATCTTCGCATCGACGGGCTTCCTGAAAACGATCAAGAAACCTGGGATGAAACCGAAAAAAAGTTACAAACCTATTTGAAAACGTGTTAAACATTAAAAACATTGACATCGAGAGGGCTCATAGAATTGGAAAAAAAGAAGAAAGTAAAACTCGAACAATTGTAGTTAAAATACTACATTACAAAGACAAAATAAAAGTTTTAAATTCAAATCGGATTAAAGGAACAGGAATATACATTAACGAAGACTTCTCTTTTGAAACAACAATCATAAGAAAAAAACTCTCAGAAGAAATGAAGATGCATAGAAAAAATGGTAAATATTCTATTATAAAATATGATAAACTTATAGTTAGAGAATTTAACAAAAAGCAAGCGAGTGCTTAATTACTTTATTTATTATTATTTTTTCTATTTTTTATTCTTTTTAACAGTTTTTTAAAATAAAAACACCCTTCTTATGAATGATAATAATGATTCAATTAACTTAGAATTTAGTTCATTACAAAATAAAAATAGGATACTTCTAGATAAAACTTCTGACCCGGATATTAATTTTTATAGTAATAATAAAGCTTTTCAAAATATTAATACTTTATATTATAACCCTAAATCTGCAAACATAATGCAAGGAATAGATGTAAATTCATTTTCAATTTTGCATTTAAACATTAGGAGCATTTCAAAAAATTTTGAATCATTTAAACAATTTTTATGAGATTAAATTCAATTTAAAAATTATTAGTCTCAGCGAAAGTTGGTGTACTGATGAATATATTATGTCAAATACAAATTTTCAGCTGCCAAATTTTAAAGTGATTCATCAATTTTGAGAATCTGGGAAAAAAGGAGGGGGTTTGTGTGTATTTATAAGCCATACTTTAATATACAAACTAAGAAAAGATTTGTGTTCAACCACTAATGATTGTGAATCACTTTGCGTGGAAATAATAAATAA